TCTACTTGTTGAGATATTTGCTCTTGTAAAATTTGAGATTTTTTGGGAGAAAAAAAAAGGTCGAATTTTTTTGTGACATTGGTGTTATGGAAATGTTGATGATTGAATAAAACATTGGAATGTGAATTTTCATGCATTTTGTAATTCTAAGTCTGCATTTGGATGCTTTATGTTAATGTGTTCAATTTCAGTAGAAACTAGCCTTACGTTACTGCCTTGATTTATAATGGGCGTTTGACTGTATTTTCATGCCTGCTTCTTGGGTATTTGAGGGAAGGTATGAAGAAAATGATTGTAGCAAGGGAGAGATTAAGGAAGCCGGTGGGGAGGAGACTGTGTGATACCGGGCACCTACGTTTCAAGTAGTTAATTCAATTGTTTAATTTAGTAGTATTGCCACTGGAATCCCTACTTTTCGACTACGTAATTACTGGAACTTTTCCATCTAAGTGTGGCTTATGTTCAAGTTTATATATATTTAAAGGATTTGGAATCACTCTGTTTCTGGTAATGGGTCATAACGATACCTGGAGTAGTGAAAATCTAGTGATTGGGTCTTATGGAGTAAATGATGTAAGATCATGGACCCTGCCTTAGAACAATGGTTTGATCCCTTATTAAATGTGTTATGGGAGGCATATAAGAGTTTTTGATTATGTGAATTATCGAAGGAAATCTAAATGTGGACTTGTGCTTTGTTCAAGAGGTGATAGAACGTGATGCCTTGACTCTCGTGCTAAGGTGCATTAGCGTGGGTTCCAGGTGAGTGACTTCAATATATGTGATATTAGTGATTACCTTGCTTTTGTAATTACTACTCTGTGTGGGTGTGACTTAGTTTTATAAATATATTTCTATTGAATTATTATGTTAATACCTAGTTTTGACTTAAGATTATGGAATGAGATTTGATTATTACATTTTGAAATATGATGTAAATTGTTTGATTGGCATGATGTGATGAAATGTGAGGGCTAGTGGTGGGTCATTAACCCATTGGGGATTTGCTGTTTTGATATTGTTTCATTTACGATTCGTTGATCCATTCTAAAAGTTAGTATTTATGCCTTACTTCTCTTAGTTGAGCTTTTGTAAATGAAGTAACTTGTGCTGGTCTCAGTTCTTTGAACCGTTGTACATTATGGGTGTTGGCTTTCCACGATTCCGTTGAGTGACGGTCCGGAATCGTACCCATTCGGATTCTGTTGAGAGATGGTCCGGAATCCCTCCCACTCCGCGATTCCGTTGAGTGATGGTCCGGAATCATAACCATTCGGATTCCATTGAGAGATGGTCCGGAATCCCTCTTACCCCGCGATCCCGTTGAGTGATGGTCCGGGATTGTATCCACCTTGGTTCCTTGAGTTTAGGCTGAGATAGTTGCAAAGGTGTAGGCTTTGGATAAACTGTGTCACCTAATTTTACTTTCATTGTGTGTATGTGAAAATGGGTGTGAGATGTGATAGTTGTTTCAAATGAACTTTTGGATATCCGGGTGACTTCTTTGGAGTTTCAAAGGTTTGGTATTGATTGTTATCAAGGAATTACATTCAATGTTTATAAATTATGTTTGATGGATGGTTGCCGATGTACCATTTCGATGGTGTAGGCACTGAACTTACAGGTGACAAGTTGAGTAGACTTCGAGACGGTCGTAGGTGGGGGTAGCAGTGCGGTATCAGAGACTTGGAGCGTTAGGTTACCCTTGATTCACTCTTGTACTTTTTATTTTGGGACTTTCTTTTGAGCATCTTGAACTTGTTTTTGGTCTGGCGAAGGTTGTACTTCTTTTTGGAATGTACATATTTGTAAATATCAAGTGGTGAACTTAGTTATCTTCATATTAATTTGGGTTATCATTTAAAGTATTTCCTTCAGTCGCTCAGACCGTGTTCAACGAACGTTATTTTCCTTGTCACGTGTCGATTCTCGACGTACGTTGGGATCGGGGTGTGACACTTGCCATCTTCAAGCAAAAACGACGACGAGCTTACTAAGCCCGCAACAATCAAAGAGAGTATGACGCCCTCAAAAGGATTAAACACACTAGTATTTCGATACATCGCCGTGTTGAAAAAAAAAGGAATGGACAATCCCCATTCGAAATTGGAACAAGCAAACCCGACACACAGCTGCACAAAGACGATATGAAGCTGCTCAAGACAAATGCGGTTTTACCTCTAACACAGCTTGGCAACGCTAAAATTTCAAAATCACCACAAGGTTTCGTCTACCAAAATGGGTAGAACCGAGCTCTTTTCCAACCAAGAGGATCGAAAAAGGATTTCGCCTACAAACTGATGTTAAAGGCTGGGTACGATTTCGCTTCCTCTTCAAATCTTGGAAAGAAGAATGCAAACACTATCAACAATTGCATTGGTGGAATCGTTCAAAACCCAGAATTTTAGCACTTGATCGCATTGGTGGTTGAGACCGAACTTCCGTCTGCAAGGGGCTTAACATGCCAAAACCCTAAAACTCTGTTTTTGAAAAGTTGTCAAAACCTAAGAAACAAAGCAACGCATCTAGCACTCCTCCGCGACAATCGGCTCTGGAAAGACTTGAAAAAACCAATAAGCCTTCTAAAAAGAGGAAGACAGCACCAAATGAAGAAAAGCTCGACAATCTAATAGAAAAAGATGATGTTCGAAGCTCGATTCCTTCAAGGAGGAAGCACCAAGCAACCTTGGAGGTTGACATAAAAAGACCACTAAAGGTAATAAGGCGCACCATTGTCCATACTGGCCAATCTTCACGCCAACAAGTCCAAAAAGATGGCACTGAAGAGGAGGTCCAAGACGTCTTCCACATCACGATCTTGGGAGAGACATGATCACCATTTTATGTTTGTAATGCAGAGACAGATGTGAAGGTTAATAACACTTGGTATATTAACAATGGCTGCAGTAACCACATGACAGGTGATGAGAGGTTGTTAGTCAATATCCAGAGAAATTTGACATCCAAAGTGAAGATGGGAACTGGTATTTTCTGTTATTCATAGATGATTGCACCAGAATGACATGGGTGTACTTTCTACGATATAAGTCTGATGCATTGGTGTGTTTTAAGAAATTTAAGGCAATGACTGAGTTGCAATGTGGATAGAAGGTTAAATGTCTCAAAAGTGATAGAGGGAGAGAATTCCTTTATGCAGAATTTGACAAGTACTGCAGTGAGCTAGGAATTCAAAGACAGTTGACTATGGCCTACACTCCCCATCAAAATGGAGTGTCAGAAAGAAAGAATAGGATTGTGGTGGAAATGGCAAAGTCAATGTTACATGAAAAGAATCTTCCATATGTATTTTGGGCAGAAGCAGTGAACACTACAGTTTATTTGCTTAATAGGTGTCCAACCAAAGCATTGAAGAAAACAACTCTATTTGAAGCTTACAGTGGCAGCAAACCAGGGATAGCTCATTTGAAGGTCTTTGGTTCACTTTGTTATGTTCACATTCCTTCAAATCTCATACACAAGTTGGAAGATAGCTATCATAAGTGCATCTTTGTAGGCTATGGTGTTAGTGAGAAAGGTTACAGATTGTATGATCCGATTTCAAAGAAGATCATTCTATCAAGAGATGTTACATTTGATGAGAATGCTTCCTGGGATTGGAACTACACTACCAACAATGAAGTGAGATTTACAGCTGTCACTGAGTATCAAAGTGCTAATAAGCTATGTGAAACTGGTGAAAGTTCTCATTCTGAGCAACCTATTACTTCTCAAAGAGAAAGTGTGATTGACAGGTCTCAAGTATATGATTCTACACCTAAAAAGTTGAGAAATGTGAATGAAATTATAGCTTAGTGCTACATGTGTATTGTTGAACCTAAAAACTATGATGATGTAGCTAAAGATGAATCATGGAGAAAGGCAATGGAAGCTGAGTTGGAAATGATAGAGAAGAATAATACATGGTAGCTTGTTAAGAGACCATTTAACAAGCCTGTCATTAGTGTCAAGTGGGTTTATAAGACCAAACTTAATCTAGATGGTACTGTGCAGAAAAATAAAGCTAGATTGGTGGCTAAAGGTTATTCACAAAAGCCTGGAATTGACAATGAAACTTTTGCCCCAGTGGCAAGGTTAGATACCATTAGAACTTTGATTGCCCTTGTTGCACAGAAGAAATGGAACTTGTATCAACTGGATGTGAAGTTTGCGTTTCTCAATGGAGTATTAAAGGAAGAAGTGTATGTTGAGCGACCACAAGGCTTTATAAAGGAGAATGAAGAAACTAAGGTGTACAAATTGCAGAAGACATTGTATGGATTGAAACAAGCACCAAGGGCTTAGTATGATGAAATTAATGCCTATTTCAACAGTGCTAGTTTCAAGAAGAGCTCAAGTGAAGCAACTTTATTTGTGAAAACAAAGGAGTATTTGAGTATCATTATTGTCTCCTTATATGTAGATGATATTGTATACATTGGTAGCAGTCCACAAATGCTTGAAGAGTTTAGAGATGACATGATGAAGCACTATGAGATGATAGATTTGGGATTGTTACACCATTTTTTTGGAATAGGAGTATTACAAACTGAGAAGAGTATTTTCATACACCAAAAGAAGTATGCACAAAAGTTAATTGAGAAGTTTGGATTAAAAGACTGCAAATCAGTAGCTACTCCACTTGCAATGAATGAGAGATTGAGCAAGATTGATGGAAGTGAAGCTGTAAATAAAGGAGAATATAGGTAGATTATGGGAAGCTTGCTTTATTTAACTGCAACTAGATCTGATATGATGTTTGCAGTAAGTCTATTGGCAAGGTTCATGCATAATCCTACCAAGAAACACATGGGAACAGCAAAAAGGGTGATGAGATACATTCAGGGAACAATTGACTTTGGAATTGTTTTTTTAAAAGGAAGACAGCTACTTTAATTGGTTACTGTGATAATGATTGGGCAGGAAGTAAGGATGATATGAGGAGCACTTCAGGGTTTGCATTTACACTATCCGGTGTATTCTCATGGGCATCGATCAAACAAAGCAAAATGGCATTGCCCACGGCAGAAGCAGAATATGCTGGTGCCGCAGAAGCTACTTCTCAAGCAAAATGGCTGAGGTTTGTACTTGAGGATTTTGGAGAAGAACAAGTGGAAGGAACTCAGATCATATGTGATAACACATCAGCCATTGCTATGGCAAAGAACCTTGTCCTTCATCAAAAGACAAGACACCTCAGCAGAAAATTTCATTTCATCCAAGAAGTAATCCAAGCCAAAGAGATTGAACTGGTGTACTGCAGGACTGAGGAGCAAATTGCAGACATACTCACTAAAGCCTTGCCTAAAGATCGATTTGCATATCTAAGGGAGCTACTCGGAGTTAAATCAGCTAAAGGGTTAGAAGGAAGTGTTGATGTGTAACCCTTCAGCTAAAGCTTGGGGGCAAAGATCGATTAAAATGTTTTTGTTATAAGTTTGAATCTGAGCCATTGGATCATAGTCCATATGGCAGCTCAATCTTGTATCTAGCTTAAGTAATAGATTAAGACAATTGGCATCATTTCATAGGGTGATAACAATTAAGGATTGAGATTGTATCTTGGTTTGGTGAGTGAAGGATCTCCTTCCTTTCCATGTATAACGGTAACAAGCACACACATGTTTGGTGTGAAAAAAAAAATCAAAAATATTCCGTCATCTTCTCTTTGAAATTCCCTCTACATTCTCTGCCATTTTCGAAGGTTGCAGAAAACCTCCATTGAAATACACAGTTAACACACACACATTAACAGAAGGGAGGTATACTTCATCAGGATGGAAGTATATAAATAGAGAGTAAGCTTCAAGTAATGCCTCAATTTGAGTTAGGTTAGGCATAGATACTTAGGGATTAGATATGGCGGCGTTTTTCAAACAAGCCACAGTTGACAACCCACCATTTTGTTGAGCAGCTATAAAAGTGCCAGCGAAGACACCCATGGCTGAGGTTCCCCTATTGCTGGGTCTGACGCTAAAGACTTTGAATCCATTGGCATCGCTGGCGGTACCTGGTCCCCAAATCCACAAGTCAGCCTCGTACTCGTCAGTGAGGCTGGAACGAACGCACCTGATTTTATCGAGGGATGGCTTCTCCGGAGAGCTTGTGACAACAAGGCCTATGGCTTTATAACCATCTGAGGCTGTGGGTAATGGTGCGTTACGAATGTGACACACAAATTAAACCCTATTTGTGACAATTGTAGTAATGATGTAAGTAGGGATCGTTCTAACCGGGGATTAACTAGGGGTGCTAAACACTTGACTCAAATAAATAAAACTAATCTTTTAAAACACTTAACTCACTTAACGAAAACTCAAAATAAGTCCACAAGACTCCAAATACTTAAAAACACAAAATAAGATAGATTAAGACTAAACAAAATATGGGGGGGATTGAGGTTTTGACGAAATTAAACTAAAATGCACAGATTGCAATTAAGGGCAGAATGTAAATATGAATGTGATGAAAATATGGATGATGGAATAGCTAAGGGGTTTTTCTCCACACATGAAATATATGCAACGTAAATCACTTTCCAGTTATCAATTCATTAAGTTATGAACCTCGACACTCCAAGTTAATTAGGTCCGCTTAAATTAACCTTCAGATTTCCCTAGAATCATTGAATTGGATGAATATGCATCGCAAACAAATTATTCCTAACAAGTTCTTTATATGAACAGCATGATTGTGAACACAAAAGTTCCCGAAATTTCGATGTCTACAAAGATAAAGATACAAGTTAGAATCATTACGTTCTTTGGAAATCATAAGCATCGACAAGGCATTTGTAACTATGAAAAGCATGAAACTCTTGCCAGGAATCTACTTAACATGATCGTGACTAGCGACCTTCACTACTTATGAATATAAATTCATAACGATTAGGTGAAACAAACTTATATCCTAGCACCAAATTCAAGCATGCAAATTAAGCGTGCACTCTCAATCAACATACAAGAATAAGTTCTAAATCAAATGGTTAAGCAAATTGTATTCACGACTTATGCAACTGATAACTGGAAGTAATCAACTTATTTCACATATATAATCATGGTTTCAAATCCCCCTTAGCCAAGGCGAATTTAGCCAATCATTCTCAAGGCAAAACAAAGATTACATGAATTAGACATTGAAATATAAGATAGAATACACCTAAAATTGTTCAACAACTCAGAATGAAGAGCCAAACAATTGTGTGAAACTGTCTCCTTTCCCTTGCTTGCGGCAGATTGGATGGTGATGGTTTCTGGGCTGTTTTGATGATGTAGAACGGGTTTTGGGGAGTGTAGAGACACGGCAAGGGGTGTAGGTTGGGTGTGGATGAGTGTTTGATGGTTGGAAGGTGGTGGAAAGGTATGTGGAAGTGTGGAATGGAGTGAGGAATGGTTGGAGTGCTGCTGCCAGGATGGGGGAAAGCTGGAAAATGCAATGTTATGCACGGCAATGGGATTGATTCCTCTTGTTGGTGAGGGAATGCATGGTTTTATAGGGAGAATGGGAGAATATTTGGCTGAATGATTAAGATTGCATGTGGCTCTATGATTATGGGTGCATGTGGCTGAAATAATGAAGGGAATGCATGTGAAAAACAGCTAGGAAAAGTTGCTGAATGATGAATGCATGTCACGGCTAGGGGAGTGAATGATTATGGGTGCATGTGGCTGAAATAATGAAGGGAATGCATGTGAGTGACAGCTAGGGTGAATGATTGAAGTGGGAATGGAAGAATGTGGCTGCAATGATGGTGTGGAATGCTGGAAAGCCACGGCAAGGGATGTATTTTCTGAATGAATGAAGGCAGGTTGTGTGGAAGGGTGATTAGGATTAATAAGGGTGCGGCATATGGGTTTTTATAAGGAAGAAAGAATCCTAAGGTTTTATTACTTAGTTTAGGAAAAGAATTAACTCCAAATTCTTTAAGAATAGGAAACACAAAGTCAGAATTTAAAGGGAAAAGGAAGTAACTTGCGGCATTCACTTGTGAGAAGGAGAATGTCATTTATTTCTGAAATTAGGCAAGGACTTTGAAATAGAAAAGGATATGTGAATTATGGCTGAGTTTGATATGAAAAAGGAATGTGTTTGAATGCTTTAGAATAGGAAAGAAGGCCCTCCCTTGCACGGCAAGGAAGGGAAACACCAAGGGGATACACGGCATGGCTTAAGGTTGCAAGTTTTGTGACCTAGAATAGGTAGGAACCTTCTTTGACTAAGATTCCTCATTTGATTAGGAATCCTCTTCAATTTCGTCCATTCCTTTTGCTCCAAACGTAAGCTATCCATTCCAAGCCCAATTTTGCTCCAAAATGCTCCAAAATGCACCTTTTTGCTTCCTTAGCCATATGAACCTAGAAACACACGAAAATGGCATAAAGGACTAAAATAACTAAAGAAACACAACGTAAATGCACGAGAACAAGCCAACTAAGTTGCCTAAATATGCTCCTATCAGGTAACCAGACATAGCCATTGCCATCTTTCTTGATGTTCAAGAACTCGCTACTCCAAAAGAGAGTGAAATCAACTGGTTGCCGCAGCAAGGGCGAAGAAGGGTCATCGTCGTTGTCTTTTGTCGGTTTAGCAGCAAGGGCCCGTCCGTAAAGGGGTATGTTGTTGGGTTGGCTGTAGCAGCCAAGCATGTAGAATCCGTGGGGTAGGGGTGAAGGTTCGAAGAAGCTTGCCCCAAGGTTGCCTGGTCCCCCCTCATGAGTAGCCCAAACTTTGTTGAAAGACGATATCTGACACACTAGTAACCCTCCCAGATCGATCATTCCACTTGCGAACCCATCACCTAATAAAATATGATCCATATATCATGTTCATGTACACCGGTAAATATAGATTAATTGGCATTACTACTGTAAAGTATATTATATAAAACTCAGAAATTACAACAACAAAGTCTTGGGGTATATATAATGCGTAGGCATGTGTGTGTGTGTGTGTGTGTGTGTGTGTGTGTAGAGATATAATATATATGGTTCAAGCTTTAACTGGTTATTAAGTTTATACCACAAATGCATTTGAAGAGAGGACCGATTGCAAATCATCATTGCAACTCATATCAGAACTGTCTAAATAGCTAGAGAGATGAACAAGTACGTACCAGGAGGCCAGCTAGGTAATGGAGAGGGAAGCTTTGGTTTTCTTGAAAACACTCGTTGCTGAAGGTGAGAGGGAAAGGCAATTTCTCATTGCTGATGTCTTAAAAGAAATTAAGATTAAATCTCTATAAACAAATTAATGATATAGATAATCTTCATGGGATGGAAGTCTGAAGCACAATAAGTTCAGCAGACGGAACAAGAAGCATATTCTGTTTCAATTGAAGGGGGATGAAAAAATGATGCAAAGAAGAATGGGGAGAAAAGGGCCAGCCCTTCCCTTGGATGTAACGTGCAAGCAAGACAATTGTGGCCACGTAAATGCTTCTAAACATCGTTCAACTTGTCTTGTACACCCAAAGTTGCTTTCTTAGGGGAAAAATGTTGTCTTGTACTATCCAACTTCTCATCTCCGTTGGCATTACAACTGGTCATGCCAACCCTACCACAAATAATGATGATACCCAAAAGATACGATCAACTCATTGTAATTTTGGATGGAAGAATTTATTATTATTCATTTTTCTTAAAACGAGGCTAATTGGTGGCTTCGGTACATCAGTCCATCCTTTCAGGGGTTGAGAAGACTTACAGAGAGATTTTAGCCTCTACCTGACCACCATCGTATGATTCACCATAATCATGAATCAAACCCAGAACGTGACGTATAAAATATAGACCTAAAATTCGTCATTATTTGGACATATAAAGAGGCCGTTTGATAACCATATCCTTTTAAGTTTTTTTTTTCATTTTTTTTTAAATTGAAATTTTTTTTTAAATGAAAACTACTCTTTTAGAGTGTGCAAAATTTGGATTTCAATTTTCATATTTCATTTTCTTTTATAAAAAACCCAAAACTAGTTACCAAAAAGATTTTCATTTCAATAAAAAATAAAAAAGTTATCAAAGGGCTGCAAAATTAAGATACTTATGTTGAGAATGAATCTCACATTAAAGAAATGAGAGACTTTGCATGTGCTTATAAGTAGTTTGACATTACCTTTATTGCCAATTAATTTTATGATGGACTAACTTCTTCAACTTATACACTTTCTAATATAAGCTTTTAAGGGAAGAGATCCCTATATTTTTTTTATATAGAAATGGAGATTATTTGTGGGGGCCCATATCACATCAAACTTTAACTATCTGAACTGTCTATTTTTCAAGCTGCACCTCATAGACCATCTTTGCAAAATTTTAGCCAGATCAGAAATATTTGAAGCATTTAATTGAATTTTTGCAAAAAAAATATATGAATCGAGTCTTACAAAATAGAAAGTTCGGATCATTGCAGTTCAATGTGGAGTGGATCTCACAACTAATTCTCATTTTTTGAGAAAGGGTAAATTACACTTTCATACCTCAAGTTTGGACTCTATTTCAATTCCTTACAACATCTTTAAAACATTTCACTTTCATATCTTAAGTACTATTTTATTTCAAAATAATACCTCCGTTACATTTTCCATCCATTGATCTGTTAAATGCTGACATGGTTGCCACATATATGTCACGTGGCTGCCAAATGTCTGCCATGTGGAAAAAATCATAATTTTTATTTTAAAAAAAAAAAAAAAAAACCCCAATGACCCACATCTGCAAGAAGAAGAGGAAGGAGGAAGAAAGAAAAAAACCCCAAAATCCCACCCGAGCTACCCCTCCCAAAAATCCCCCATCACCAGACTGCGGAGAGGAGGGTCGCGCGGGGAAGAGAGAGCTAGGTCTCTGACGACTACGGGGGGCCGGGGGGGTGGGTTGCATCACCAAACTGCGAAGAGGAAGGAGGGTCGCGCGAGAAGGGCATCGGAGGAGGGTCCTGGTGGGGGGCGGTTGGTTTTTTTTTTCCTTTTCTTCCTCCCTCCTCTTCCTCTTCTTCTTCCTGCTGCAGATGTAGGTCGCTCAATTTTTTTTTCCCCTTCTTCCTCCCTCTTCTTCTTCTTCTTGCAGATGTGGGTCGCTGGGGGGGGGAGGGATAGTTTCAATTATTTTTTTTTCTTTCTTCCTCCCTCTTCTTCTTCTTATTCTTCTTCTTGCAAATGTGGGTTGTTCAATTTTTCTTTTTTTTTTTTTTTGTAAAAATTCAAGTATTTTTTAAAATTTTAAAAATTATTATTTTTGCCACGTGGCAGACATTTGGTAGCCATGTCAGCATTTAACGGATCAATGGATGGAAAATGTAACAGAGGTATTAATTTGAAATAAAATAGTACTTAAGGTATGAAAGTGAAATGTTGTAAAGATGTTGTAAGGAATTGAAATAGAGCCCAAACCTGAGGTATAAAAGTGTAATTTACCCAATATTTTATTTGCCACGTGGCAGAAATTTAGCAGTCACGTGGTATATATGTGTCAGCCACATCAGCATTTAACAGATCAATGGAAGGAAAATGTAACGGATGTATTATTTTGAAATAAAATAGTACTTAAGGTATGAAAGTGAAATGTTTTAAAGATGTTGTAAGGAATTGAAATAGACCTCAAACATAAGGTATGAAAATGTAGTTTACCCTTTGAGAAAAATGGAAATCCCTTCCCTTATAAAGTCTGCTTTCTTTTCTAATATAAGCGGATAAATAACATTAGTGATTAGTATTGGTCAACAAGAAAGATGATAAATAACATTAGTGATTAGTATTCGACAAAAAGAAAGATGAATAAACTATGTGGTAAGGAAAGAATGATTCATTTTTTATGGTACAGTTAGGGCAGGTGCATTTTCCTTAGTTAATTGTTTTGTTTTACAGGTCGAATTTACATCTTTGAGGACAGCTCTTGTAGTATCCCACATCGGCGGGGTAAGGGTTGATCCCTCGGCGGGGTAAGGGTTGATCCCTGACCTTATATGTACATGCACATCTTTTCCTAGCAAAACGCATTTTGGGTAGTGAGGTTCTCTTGCCCAAGAACAAATCTGTGAGGGCATGACACAAAGCAAACAATATCTTGTTACGGCGGACTGGGATGTGACAGTTTGGTATCAGAGCCAGTCACCGTCCGTTCGGATGTGCCGACAAGGATGTCGGTCTCCCTAAGGGGGGTGGATTGTAGTATCCCACATCGGCGGGGTAAGGGTTGGTCCCTGGCCTTATATATACATGCCCATCTCTTCCTAGCAAGACGCGTTTTAGGTAGTGAGGTTCTCTTGCCCAAGAACAAATCCGTGAGGGCATGGCTTAAAGCGGACAATATCTTGCTATGATGGACTGGGATGTGACAGCTCTTCAATAATATGAATATGATTTGACAATTTTCATATCAAAGGCAACTCTAAAACGGACAATAATAAACGAGATACAAATTCTGTGGAAAATTTTATTAATCATTAAGAATATATTTGATATTTACTGGAGCAAATTTCTGGTTGCATAATCAATCATATTTGGCGCATACCTTTAATCGTTGTATGTAGGTTCCTAATTTTCCTCATGTAATACTTGATAGGTTACTATTTCGATGAGTTTGAAAATATGATCCATCTGTATGTCTTTCAACACAAAACAAGGCCCCATTGGCTTGATTGTTCAACAACCTTTAACAACCACATGCATATGCTTACGTGTGGGATTAAGCACGTGTTGTATCCGCAACGCTTCGCACAAATGTGATGAAGAATATCAGGGTTAACTCTATACCGTACTAGCTAATCAAAGGAACTAAAACAAATCTGGAAAATTTGATGAATTAGCTAATGCATGACCTTTCAATCATTATCTTCCTCAAGTCCAAGTGGAAAACGAGAATAGCATATAAAAGAAAAAATAAATCATGTAGATGGCATCTATCTAAATATCTATATTACATAGAACAAGTTTTAAGCTCATACCGTGACAGATCCGCTTAAACTTAATTAATAATGTTACATGAGTACACAAACCAAGTATATTATGATCAATGGCGGAGCCTAAAATCTTTATTTGAACAGGTTTAGGTGACATAATATTGCAAATAACGGAGATTACGAAAACATTATACATTAACACTAGCCCAACATTATATTAACAGTAGCCCAAGCAACCTACTACAAATAAAATTCAATTGTTGACAGTACACTTTGGGGCATGTTTACTATGTGTTAGAGACCTTTACTATAGATGGAAACATATCGTATCATCTCAAAACATAACGGTTGGTCTCTTGCCATTCTTGTTGTGCTACAAAGATAAGTATACAGATGCTCAATTGTGATTGGTCACATTGAACGCGATCAGTCGAGTTCTTGCATGGAGTTTTAACGACATGTCAAGCAACTCATTAGTTATAATAATGCAAATTAATCCTTAGACATAAGTCATCATTGTCTGACATGCAGATAGGTTCATGACTTTGTGATTATGCACTACACTTCCAGAGTGGTTTACTTAGAGGTTGTTGTTGATAATTGCAAGTGTACAATATCGTCCAAGTAATATATTGATAAGTAGAGTGTCGTTCAAACAAGAATCGGATTAATCTAAATTTACTATTGAAATTGACTTCAAACTAAACTTAAATAAAAGAAGGATTACGTTGACAAATTCAAATATGCAAAGAAACGATATGAAAGTAAAAATAACAATTGATCAAACACGAAGTAAAAGTGAATGAATTATAAAAGATTAATATATGGAAGCACTAGG